AATTCTGCATGCAGTGTGGCTCTGAAAAGTCATAAACATCCTGGGGCTGGAAGGGACCTTGGAGGTCATCTAGCCCAACCCCCTGCCCCAGCTACCCCTGTCCGGCCGCAAATCGCTTCTTCCTCAACCTCCATCCTCCAAAGAGCCCTGCAAGGTAGGCCTGCGGTTAAGCTGCTTTTCCATCCGACGGAGAAGGGGAAACCACCCCCTCCTACTCCAGCTCTCCTCTGCTCTCCCCTCCCTCCCTCCAGCCTCTCCCCCCCCACTTATCCCCCTTCTCCCCCAGGCGATTATCTCATTTGGCAGCGGATCTGTCCCAGGGGCTGTCCCAGGCAGCTCTGGGGTCAAAGGTCAACAGGTTGGAATGCTTTGGGCTTGCAAGGAAAGGGGGGGGGCAGAAGGAAGAGCCCGCCGAGAGCTGCCAGCCAGCCAGCAACCAAGAAGCTAAATTAAAGGCAGATGCTGAAAATCACACACACACATACGAGGAAGCACACTCCATTTTTGCTGCCCGCACAACGTTTGCGTTTCGTCTGTTTGCGAGGAATTAGGGTTTTTCCGTGCTGGCTTTCTTTGAGCGGTTTGAATCTGGAAAGAACTGCCTTGAAGTTGGCCATCTTCCATCCAAATGCATGTTGTTGTCGGTGAAATTTGTGGTGTTGTGTTTTTCCTGGCATCTTCGATCCAAATAATTTTGCTGTCTGAAATGGTATATAGGCAATAGGGTTTCCTGCCTGAGCAGGGGGTTGGACTAGATGACCTCCTCCCATTACTATTATTGATCATTGCACAGTCATCCAGATGTTCAGACTGGATTTGGCATTTTGTCTACCTCTCGAGTCCTTACCCAGGACCTGGGATAGGCAGATGTGGATGTTTGATGGTATTACAGGTATCGTCGCAGGATGGAAGCAGTTCCTAATAAGGCCGCCTTTTGCAATTGACTAATAGTGTTGTCGGTTAAATTTGTGGTGTGTTGTGTTTTTCCTGGCATCTTCGATCCAAATAATTTTGCTGTCTGAAATGGTATATAGGCAATAGGGTTTCCTGCCTGAGCAGGGGGTTGGACTAGATGACCTCCTCCCATTACTATTATTATTATTATTATTATTATTATTATTATTATTATTATTATTATTATTATTATTGATCATCGCACAGTCAGCCAGATGTTCAGACTGGATTTGGCATTTTGTCTACCTATCGAGTCCTTACCCAGGACCTGGGATAGGCAGATGTGGATGTTTGATGATATTACAGATATCGTCGCAGGATGGAAGCAGTTCCTAGTAAGGCCGCCTTTTGCAATTGACTAATAGCGAATTTGTCAATGCCGATGATGGTGTTCAAGTGGTGCTCCAGTTGTTTTGGGATTGTACCCAAGGTGCCTATGACTATTGGTGCCACCCTTGCTTGCTTTTGCCACAGTCTTTCTATTTCTATTTGTAGGTCTTTGTATTTTGTGATCTTCTCCAGTTCTTTCTCGTCTATTCTGCTGTCTCCAGGCACTGCCACGTCCACTATCCAGACTTTTTTGTCTTTCTTATCGATAATTGTTAAGTCCGGGGTGTTATGTGGCAAGTGCTTGTCTGTTTGAATTCTGAAGTCCCAGAGCAGTTTAATTTTATCATTTTCTATGACTTTCTCTATTTTATGATCCCACCAGTTCTTGTTTACAGGCAAATGATATTTCTTGCAGATCTTCCAATGCACCATTGTTGCTACTTTGTCATGCCACTGCTTGTAGTCAGTCTGTGCAATCTTCTTGCAACAGCTTACCAGGTGGTCCACTGTTTCTTCGGCGTCTTTGCATAGGCGGCACTTACTGTCTGTTGCTGTCTTCTCAATTTTGACTTTATATTATTAAATTATTATTGTTGTTTTGTTTTTTTAAAAAAGAGACTTCCGCCGGGGATAAAAAACAACCCTGGGAAAGTGGGCAGAGGCCCTTTTGAAAAAAAAAAAAAAGATATAAAAGCTAAAGATCTGCTCTGTGTGGAGTGGGGTGGGCAACTTGGAAATAATGGCGGGTTTCTATTTCATGGGTTAATCTAACCCAGGGGTCCTCCAAGTTTGGGCACTTTAAGACTTGTGGACTTCAACTCCCAGAATTCCCCAGTTGGCCTGATCTAAACTGTTCATCCAAAGAGGCCACTGTGGTTTTAAAAACACTGGAGCAAAGTGGAGATGGATAAATGTCAGGGCGAAGACTTGGGAAACCGCGTTAAAAAGTTTGGCAGGGTGAGTGGGATGGTTGGTTTCTAACACACACACACACACACACACCTCACAACCCCACGTCCACCCACCCACCCCCAGTCTGCTGGAGCTGAACAGGTATAACAAGGTTTTCCATTTGGGAAGAAAGACAGAGAGAGTCTAATGTCTGCCCAGCCGTGTAGCTTCGTGGGGAAGCAGCTTCTATTCCCAAATGTGGTTTTTAAGTGGGCGATTTGCCCACCTCCAGCTGAAAAGCAAAGTAAAATCTGACTAGGAGAGAATATTTTGCCACTCAGGGTTGAGTTGAGCGGGGGGGGGGGTCCTTGGTGCTCTCTGAGCTGGATGGTTTCCTTGCAGACGTTTCATGACCCAACTTGGTTACATCATCAGTGCTAGAAGGGAGGAGCAGGAGGAGGAGGAGGAGAGTGACTGATAGGTCCTTGGTGCTCTCTGAGCTGGGTGGTTTCCTTGCAGACGTTTCATGACCCAACTAGGGAACATCTTCAGCGCTAGAAGGGAGTTTGGAAGGAGGAGGAGGAGGAGGAGGAGGAAGAAGAAGACAACGACAATGACAACGACAACTCTGGGGTCCTTGGTGGTCTCTGAGTTGGGTGGCCTTCTTGCAGACATTTCATGCCCCAACTAGTGCTGGCAGGGACTGGGGTCTGCAGAGTGGAGGGAAGAGGAGAAGGAAGGAAGGAAGGAAGGAAGGAAGGAAGGAAGGAAGGAAGGAAGGAAGGAAGGAAGGAAGGAAGGAAGGAAGGAAGGAAGGAAGGAGAGACAAAGAGAGAAAAGGAAGGAAGGACGAGAAAGATAAAGAAGGAAAGACGGGAAAAGAGGCAGAAAGAAAAAAAGGAAGGAAGGAAGGAAGGAAGGAAGGAAGGAAGGAAGGAAGGAAGGAAGGAAGGAAGGAAAATGGGGTCTTTAGTGCTTTCTGAATTTGGTGGTTCTCTTGCAAATGTTTCATATATAAATAGAGAGCAAGCTCCACTCCCTTCTTAGCACTGATGATGTTACCTAGTCTGGTCATGAAACGTCCGCAAGAAAACCTCCCCAGTTCAGAGAGCATCTAACATCTCACAGTCCTCCTCCTCCTCCTCCTCCTCCTGCTCCTCCTCCCTTCTAGCACTGATGATGTTACCTAGTTGGGTCATGAAACGTCTGCAAGAAAACCAACAAACTCAGAAAGCACCAAGGACTCCACAGTCCTCCTCCTCCTCCTCCTCCTCCTCCTCTCTACACACCCCTCTCCCTTCCAGCACTGATGAAGCTTTCTAGTTGGCTCATAAAAGGAAGCAGCCAAGATCAGAAAGCACGGAGGACCCCACAAATTAGAGTCGGGTGTAAATCTGGTCTTGAGGCCTGCAAGGAAGCAGACAAATGGCGACTTGGAGTTTTTGAAACAACCAGGTGTGTTTTCCTTTGCTTGCAGGATCCGTGTTTTCCCTTTTTTGAAGTGGGGCTTTGGGAACACAGAAGGGTCTTTAAATAAATAGAAAGATGTCACTGAGAACAGAGGGGGGGGGGGAAATCTATTTTGTTTCCCACCAGGGTAGACCTTCATAGCTGTTGGGGTACAAATTGCGAATGTCCCTTTTAGGGGTAGTCCTTGACTTCCAAGTGTTTGCTTAACAACACTTCAGGGTTGTGACAGTTTTGGAAAAAGGGGCTTCCGACCTATTTTAAAGATATGACTATTGTACACGCTCCACACTGATGTGATCACAATTCAGGTGCTTAGTAGCTGGCTGGCGAATAGAATAGAGTAGAATAGAATAATAAAATATAGAAGAGAAGAGAAGAGAAGAGAAATAAGAATAGAATAAAAGAGAATAGAATAGAACAGAACAGAACAGAACAGAATAGAATAATAAAATATAGAATGGAATGGAATAGAGTAGAGTAGAATAACAAAATATAGAATAGAAGAGAAAAGAGAAGAACAGAAGAGAAATAAGGGAAGAGAAATAAGAATAGAATAAAAGAGAATGGAAATAAGAATAGAATAGAATAATAAAATATAGAATGGAATGGAATAGAGTAGATAATAAAATATAGAAGAGAAGAGAAGAACAGAAGAGAAATAAGGGAAGAGAAATAAGAATAGAATAAAAGAATAGAAATAAGAATATAATAGAATAGAATAGAATAATAAAATATAGAATGGAATGGAATAGTAGAATAATAAAATATAGAATAGAAGAGAAAAGAGAAGAACAGAAGAGAAATAAGGGAAGAGAAATAAGAATAGAATAAAAGAGAATAGAAATAAGAATAGAATAGAATAGAATAGAATAGAATAGAATAATAAAATATAGAATGGAATGGAGTGGAGTGGAGCAGAGTAGAGTAGAGCAGAGTAAGAGTAGAGTGGAATAATAAAATATAGAATAGAGTAGAGCAGAGTAGAGTAGAGCAGAATAGAATAGAATAGAGCTGGAAGGGGCCTTGGAGGTCATCTAGTCCAACCCCCTGCTCAGGCAGGAAACCTTATAGTACCATTTCGGACAAATGGCTGTCCAGTCTCTTCTTAAAAACTTCCAGTGTTGGAGCATTCACCGCTTCTGGAGGCAGGTAGTTCCACTGGTTAATTGTTCTGACAGTCAGGAAGTTTCTCCTTAGTTCCAAGTTGCTTCTCTCTTTGAACAGTCACTAAACGAACCGGGTGTAAGTCGGAAACTTCCCTGTAGTTTTCCGAGTGGGGATTTAACAGCCGGATCTCTCTCTCTGTGTGTGTGTGTGTGTGCCTTCACCTGATGGGCTTTCCTCTCTCCCTGCAGGTTCCAGAACGAGGGGGGCTACGTCTTGTACCCCCAGATCGGGGACCGCTTGGACCTTATCTGCCCCCGCTCCGTGCCCCTCGGCCCGTTCTCCACGGAGGACTACGAATACTATAAGTTGTACCTGGTCCAGACCGAGCAGGCTGAGCGCTGTGAGATTCTGCACGCCCCCAACTTGCTCCTCACCTGCGACCGGCCCGAACACGACATGCGTTTCACCATCAAATTCCAGGAGTACAGTCCCAACCTCTGGGGTCACGAGTTCAAGTCCAACCAGGACTATTACATCATCAGTAAGCCTGCCCCCCTTTTTTTTCTGGGTGCATTTCTTTAGAGGCCGTCCTCGGCTTACGGCCGTCCATTTAGCGAGCGTTTGGGCTTCCCCCCCCCAAAGAAGTGGCTTATGGCCGTTTTTCTCACACTTACGACCGTCGCAGCCCGTGACCGAACTTCAGAGGCTGAGCCACCAGCTCCTGTTTATGACGGTTGCAGCGTCCGTCCCCCGGAGTCACGTGATCCTTTTTGGGGGGGGGCGGCCTTCCACACAGGGAATTCAATGGGGGAGAGCTAGTCTCGCTTAATGACCGTGTTGCTAAGTGAACCGCTGCAGCGATTCAGCTAGCAACTGCGGGAAGAAAAGTGGCGAAATGGCAGCAAAAGTCACTTAATGACCGTCTCGCTTAGCGACTGAAACGTTGGGGGTCAATTGCGGTCATAAGTCAAGGACTGCCTGTATTGGAAGAAGGGAAAAAAATTCGCTTTTAGATGAGGGGGTGGGCTTCCGCTCAAGCGTCGCCCGGGCCCCTCCCTTCCCCGTGGCTGCAGAATACACTTCCCAGAGTCCCCAGCCGGCCTGCTGCGGCTTCTCCAGCACATCGGGAAAGCTGGGAGGGGCAGGGACAAGTGATGGAGAAGTGAGGTTCCCCCCCCCAATCCAGCTGTGCTTCAACATCTGGGCATCCCTTGCAACGTTGCTGGGGGAAATTTGGGGGGGTCTAGTCCCAAAGGTGTGTGTGTGTGTGTGTGTGTGTGTGTGTGTGTGTGTGTGTGTGTGTGTGTGTGTATGGGTGGGGGAGTCCACAGAGGCCTCCCTGTTCGCCCCCCCCCTCCCTGTCACATTGTCTCTGGATGCCTGGGGTGGCCCTTCAGCCATCGCCATGGCAACCGTCTCCCCTGCAAATGTCGGCAGGAGCTGGCGACTTGGCAGTGGCACCACCGCCATTTTGCAGATTTGCACAGGTGTGCGCACACGCACACACACGCACGCACACACATGCAGAGAGGGAAAGACACTGGCAACGCTCCTGTCCTCTCCTAGGCACACCTTAAAAGGTTCCCCGGCCTGGCGGTTGCCGTTTTACAATTTTGCACGTTTGCATCGACACACATGCGCCACACACACACACACACGCACACGCGCACACAAACACACACACACGGCGACGCTTCTGTCCAAACGCACACTTGCCTTTTTGACGCTCCCCTGCCTCGTGGTTGCCATTTTACAGTTTTGCACGTTGGCACCAACACACATGCATGCGCGCTCAGACACACACACACACACACACACACACACACACACACACACACAGAGCGATGTTCCGGCACACCTGCCTTTTAAAAGGCTCACCCACCTTGTTGTTGCCATTTACACTTTTGCACGTTTGCACCAACACACACACACGCACGCGCACACACACATGGCGAGACTCCTGCCCAAATGCACACCTGCCTTTTAGACGCTCCTCTGCCTCGTGGTTGCCGTTTTGCAATTTTGCACGTTTGCACCAACACACACGCACACCGTTGCAGCCTCCCTGTGGGTCACGTGATCAAAATTCGGAGACTAGGGGCAACTGACTTGTATTTATGACAGTTTGAACCTCCCGGGTGTCAGCTGATCTCCTTTGGCGACTATCTGGCGAGCAAAGTCAGGCTCGCTTAGCGACTGTGTTGCTGACTTAACCACTGCGCTGATTCCATTAGCAACAGTGGCGGGAAAGGTGGTAAAACGGGGGGGCCAGGCTTCCTTAGCCACCGACTTGCTTAGCGACGGACACTTTTCGGGTCCTTTGTGGCCGTAACACGAGGACTACCTGTACACACACGATTGTGCGATGCTGCTGGCGGTGGGTAGCCCCCGTTTGGGGAGAGGGAGGGGCTGGAAGGGGGTGCCACCCCGGACGGGGAGGGGAGGGGGAAAAATCTCCTTGCAAAGGATTGTGGGGCCTGACTTTCAGCTCCTGCCCCTTTGCACACTCCGGGATCCATTCCCACATGCGCAAAGCTGGCACGGCTGCCCAGATGCCCGCTTCCTCTTCCTCTGTGCACCCCCCCAAGGAAGGAAATGCAGTGGGGGGAAAAAGGGGGGCTGCCCTCTCTGGAAGCCCCCCCCCTTGGGCACTGCTCGGCTGGGGGGGGGGTAGAAGAAGTCTAGACTCAGCCGAGGATCCCTTTAATTCAGTTTAAGAAAGGAGGCGGGTTCAAGCTCGTTGGCATCCCCGGCAGCCCCTCCCAACCTGCCCCACATCCCTTCGGTTGCCCCCTCCCTGCCTCCCATCAGCGCCCCGCAGCCACGTGCCCAGCACCGTGGTGCCAGGCTGGTGCCCTGTTGTGGTTGACCCACATTTTTTCCCCCTTTTGCAAAAGATTTTATGCGCAGCGGAGCATGAGGGAAGAGTAGCAGACAGCGGAGTGGAAGGAAGGGAGGGAGGGAGGGAAGGAGAGGGGGAGCCGGGCGGTGGGTGGGGGTTCCTGGGGGGGGGGTGGCTGGGCCATCTAGGGCAAAGAGAGAGGAGGAGGGATGGGGAAGCTTACCAAAAACATAATAATAATAATAATAATAATAATAATAATAATAATAATAATAATAATAACAACAACCCATTTCAAACAAATAGCTGCCCAATTTCTAGTGGCAAGTGGTTCCATTGATTAACTGTTCTAATTTTCCCAAAATTTCTCCTTCATTCCAGGTGGCTTCTCTCCTTGATTAATTTCCCTCTATTGCTTCTTGTCCTGCCTTCGGGTGCTTTGGAAAATATGTTGACCCCCTCCTCTTTATGGCAGCCCCTCAAATACTGGAATACTGTTATCATATCACCCCTGGTCCTTCACTTTGTTAGACTAACAGAATAACTGTGTTGGAAGGGACCTTGGAGGTCATCTAGTCCAACCCCCTACTCAGGCAGGAAACCCTATACCATTTCAGACAAATGGCTGTCCAGTCTCTTCTTAAAAACTTCCAGTGTTGGAGCATTCACCGCTTCTGGAGGCAGGTTGTTCCACTGGTTAATTGTTCTCACTGTCAGGAAGTTTCTCCTTAGTTCTAGGTTGCTTCTCTCCTTGATTAGTTTCCATCCGTTGCTTCTTGTCCTGCCGTCAGGCGCCTTGGAGAATAGCTTGACTCCCTCTTTTTTGGGGCAGCCCCTGAGAGATTGGAACGCTGCTATCCTGTCTCCCCTCATCCTTCTCTTCATTAAACTAGACATCCCCAATTCCAGCAACCGTTCCTTATATGTTTTAGCCTCCAGACCTCTGATCATCTTTGTTGCTCTTCTCTGCACTCTCTCTAGAGTCTCAGCATCTTTTTTACATCGTGGGGACCAAAACTGGATGCCAGATTCCAAGTGTGGCCTTACCAAGGCCTTGTAAAGCGGTATTAACCCTTCACCTGATCTTGATTCTATCCCTCCGTTAATGCAGCCCAGCACTGCATTAGCTATTTCTCCTCTCCATAGAGAGCTACGGTGAGCAATAGGCAAAGAGAAGGCTTGACCATGACAAAGTGGTTTAATGTCATCCTGACCCGGTTGCAAATCAAATTGCAAAAATGTCCTTTTTTTCCACATCGATCGCCACGAGCAGCATTTTTTTAACCTTGCGAAGACGATCTTGGTTCGTTCGTCCAGTACGAACTGGATGGAGATCAGAAATCCTTCATCCAAGTTGCTGGTTGCAATAACACCTCTTATAAAGGGGTATTGCTACTGCTTTGTAAATCCTTAGTAAGGCCACACCTGGAATAGCCCATCCAGTTTTGGTCCCCACATTTGGTCCCCCCCCCCAACAATTAACCAGTGGAACAACCTGCCTCCAGAAACAGTAAATGCTCCAACACTGGAAGTTTTTAAGAAGAGACCGGACAGCCATTTGTCCGAAATGGTGTAGGGTTTCCTGCCCGAGCAGGGGGTTGGACTAGATGACCTCCAAGGTCCCTTCCAACTTTACTACTACTACTACTATTATTATTATTATTATTATTATTATTATTATTATTAATTATTATTATTATTATTATTACAAAAAAGATGTTGAGACTTTGGGGGGGGAAGTGCAGAGAAGAGCAACTGAAATGATTAAAGGCCTGGAGACTAAAACGGTTGCAGGAATTGGGAATATCGTGTCTAGACAAAAGAAGGACCAGCAGAGACACGATAAAAGTATTCTAGTATTTGATGAGGGGGTCCACCTATTCTCCAAAGCACCTGAAGGCAGGACGAGAAACAACGGATGGAAATGAATCAAGGAGAGAAGCAACCTGGAATTAAGGAGAAATTTCCCAACAGGGAGAACAACCAGTGGAACAGCTTGCCACCAGACGCTGTGGGTGTTTCATCACTGCAGCTGAAGAAACAGCTGAAATGGGTTAAGGTCTCCTGGATGAGCAGGGGGTTGGACTAGATGACCTCCCAGGTCCCTTCCAGCTCCATTCTGATTCTGAGTCAGCTCGGCGTCTGTGGCGTGCGTTGGTAGCGTTCCTCTTCCTCATTCCTGGCACTCCGAGTCAGCCCTGCCTGAGGCATGCTCTGCTCCATCCTGGCGTTGCCTCAGATGCCCTGGCTTGGCTCCGGAGGCCCGGGGTGACGTCCTCCCAGCCAGGATGAGGCTGGCATTGGCACAGGGCGTGTCGGGACGGCCTGGCTGGCACCGGGATTCCTGCCAGCTCTGCAGGAGAGCAGCTGCGTTAAAACGCCTCCGGATTGCAGTGGCTCATTCAAGATCATGTGGGATCCGTGTCTGGACACATATTAAATTGCTCGTTTAAATATGAAATGGCCCCGAAGCGGTTGGGTGGGGCGGGCGAGGAGGCGGGCAGGTGGATGGATGGATGGGTGGGCATCAGAGTGCCTGGCGGGTGCCTCAGCCAGGCCATAAAATCCTTTTTCCACACGGAATAAGGGACTTTTTGTCCATTTTCGGGAATCTTTTCCTTGATCCTCCCCAAAAAAGTCAAGATCACGGCTGGGATGGTGCGAATGAGGCTCCGCCCATCTTTGACACAGCGGCCATCTTGACTTTTTTGACCCCCTCCGATCCTCCCCTTTCCTTGCCCTCTCGTTCCACCCAAGTGCAGTCCTCTTAGTCAAATAGTCCTTGACTTACAACAGATCACTTAGTGACAATTCAAGGGCACTGAAAAAAAAGGGATTTGGGAATGTGTTTCACACTTACGACCGTCGCGGCATCCTGACGGTCACGTAATTTACACTCGGATGCTTGACATTTACGACGGTCGCAGTGTCCCGGGGTCACGTGATGATCCCCTTTTGAGACAAGCAAAGTCAAGGGGGAATCAAATTCACTTCACAACGGTGTTGCTAATTTAAGCCCTCACTTAACAACAAGGAAGGTCGTAAAATGGGGCAAAATTCACTTTAACAACTGTGTCACTTAGCAACCTCAGTTTTGGGCTCAGTTAAGTCAAGAAGTACCTGAAATTCATTTCCATCGCTGTCCATCTTAGTAAATGGCACCTCCGGGCACGTCGTCATTCAAAACATATATTCCAATGAAAAAATATTAAAAACATTTTTTAAAACAATAAAAAAAAACCCCTGAAAGAAGCATTCAAACAATTTAAAAAAAAAACATTAACATGTCTCTGATAGTCCTCAACGTACGACCACAATTTACGTCGCTAAGGGAGAAATTTGTGAAGTCGGTTTTGCCCCATTTTATGATTTTTTTTTCTTGCCTCGGTTGTTAAGTGAACAACTACAGCCGTTAAATTAGCAACACCGTTGTTAAGTGAAACGGGCTTCCCCGTGGACTTGGCGGGTCAGAACGTCACAAAAGATGGTCACATGACCCCAGGACACTGTGACCGTCACAATTGTCAAGCATCCGAGTATAAATCACATGACTCTAAAGATGCTGCAACGGTCGTAAGAGGGAAAAGTGGTCGTAAGTCACTTTTTTCGTTGCCGTTGTAACCTTGGACGGTCACTAAATGAACCATCGTAAGTCGAAGACTGCCTGTACAGGCACGCCAAGACTTGCAACCGGAAATTCGGTCGTAATTCGAGGACTCGCTGGCATTTCGAAGCGGCTGAAGTTCCTAGACGGCGTTCAAGGGTGGGCCCCACAAACAGCCTGCTGCAGTAGCCTAGCGGTTAAATCTCAAACTCCTTTGTGTCTCCCGCAGCCACTTCAGATGGTACCAAGGAAGGTCTGGAGAACTTGAAAGGGGGCGCCTGCTTGTCCAAAGGGATGAAGGTGATGCTGAAAGTCGGACAGCGTAAGTGGTCCATCGGGGTGGACGCTACCACTGGTGGCGGGGTGGGGTGGCTGAGTGACCTGTGGGGCTTGGGAATCCTGGCCTCACTTGGGGGGGAGATGAGCTGGGATGGTGAGGCATCTTTTGTCTTGGAGAAGACCCAGTTCTTTTGACCAGAAGAAATGTAGAGCCGTGTAGAGCAGGGGTTCCCCAATCTGTGGGCCATGGCCCATGACCTCTTGGCCAATGGGCTGTGTGAATGGCTGGCCAGAGCATGCACTCCCCCCCCCCACTCGCACTAGTGCTGCCCTGAGTGTCGCACGGATGCTAGGCCGCCCTGGGTGTCACACGGATGCTAGGCCAATCCCGAGCGTCGCGTGGACACTAGGCCCACCCTGAGTGTCGCATGGACACTAAGCCCACCCCGAGTGTCGCGCAGACGCTACGTCCGCTCCGAGCATCGCTTGGACACTAGGCCCGCCCTGTCACATGGACACTAGGCCCGCCCCCAGTATTGCACAGATGCTATGTCCACTCTGAGCGTCGCGTGGATGCTAGTTTACCCTGAGTGTCGTCTGGATGCTAGGCCCGCCCCAAGCATTGCGCAGACGTTATGTCCGCTCCAAGTGTTGCGTGGACACTAGGCCTGCCCTGAGCATTGTACAGATGTTATGTCCGTTCTGAGTGTCGCGTGGACTCTAGACCCTCCCCGAGCATTGTGTGGATGCTAGGTCTGCCCCAAGCGTCACGCAGACGTTACGTCTGCTCTGAGTGTCGCGCAGACGCTATGCCCACTCCGAGCATCACGTGGACACTGGGCCCTCCCCGAGTATCGCGTGGATGCTAGGCGCCCCCTGAGCATCTTGTGGACACTAGACCCGCCCCAAGCATCGTGCTGGTGCAAGGCCCACTCCCAGTGTTGTGCGCGTACTTGCGCTGCCCTTGTTTGCATCATGTGTGCAAACGTGGCCCAAGCTGCCCCTTCTGTTCCCTCTAGGCTACCAAGCTAGAAAGATTGGGGACCTCTGGTGTACAGGTAGTTCCTGACGTACAGCTACCATTGAGCCCAAAATTTCGGTGTTTAAGTGAGACTGAGTTTTGCCCCATTTTACGACCTTTCTTGCCACCCTTGTTGTGAGTTGAGTGAATCTGGCTTCCCCATGGACATCACTTTTTTCCGTGACATAACTTCGAATACTCGCTTAACGATCTGTTGTAAGTTGAGGACGGCCTGTGTCTCAAACTTGGCATCTCAAAGATGGATGGACTTCAACTCCCAGAATTCCCCTTGGCAACCAGCTCACATTTAAGGCCCTGTTCAGTGTCCTGTGGTCACATGATTGTGATTTTTTTGGCTTTTTTTTTTGCCAGTTTCCAGCATTTATTTCCGATTTCCGGCGGAAGACACCCCTTGATGAAAACAATTGCTTAATGACCGCAGTGTTCGCTTAATGACCCCAATATTATGAAATCGAGTGCGGTCATTTAGTGACCTGCTTAGCGACCACTATGATTCACCACCGTCATTCCAGGCTCAATTGCAGTCCTACGTCAAGGACTACCTGGGTGTTCATACAGGATGCTCAGTTAGGTTCATTAAGGCAGCCGCATCTTTTGCGCGACACGATCCGCTTCAAGAGCCAGGAATTAACCTTGCCTAGTGGTTACGTGGGGTACGTGAACACAACTTCTTTTATCAGTTTATGGATCCTAGTACAGTCAACTTACAACAGCTCATTTAGCAACTGTCCAAAGTTACAACCGCACTGGAAAAAATGACTTAGTTTCGTTTTTCAGGCTTACGAACGTTGCGTCATCCACGTGTGATCAAAATTCAGTGGCAACCGACTCCTATTTAGGACGGTTGCAGTGTCCCGGGGTGTGTGTGTTGCTTGATCCCCTTTTTGCAACAAGCAAAGTCAATGGGGAAGCCGGATTCGCTTCCGTGGCCAGAAAAGTCATCCTATGGGGCAAAATTAATTTAACAACTGTGTCACTTAGCAACAGAAATGTGAAACTCCGTTGTGGCTGTTAGTTGAGGATGACCTGGATATACACCCAAAAAAAAAAAAAAAAATAGGACAAGTTGAGTCAAGGTCCTGGTGGGAATGGCAGCCGTGTGTGTCTGTGGGGTGTGTGTGGTTATGTTAAAATGGTGACTGTAATTGTGTCGTCAAAGCCACGTCCTTCTGCCTCCTCACAGAATGGGCAGTGCTTTGATTGTGTAGATATGGCTTTCCATCTTCACTTTCTTGATACGCTCACCCATTGGGTGTCAAGGAGAGGAACTGGGGGTGTTGCGTTGGGGTGCTAACCCTCTCTGCCCCACATTTCCCTTTGCCCGCCAGATCGCAACACGGGTTCCAAATCCATGCCCGCCACCCCTGCTGAGAAGGACCGAGGGATGCCGGGTGCCGCCGAACCAAACAAGGAAATGGTCCCAGGTAAGACCCTTCTCCCACCCCGCCCCGGGGGGCTTCTCTCTGTCCCCTAACAAGGGAGGCCCTTCAAATGGGTCATTGCGACTGCCGTCACCTTAAGCCAGCAGGGTTAATCCCCCGCGGTCTGGCAAGGAGGTTTCCGTCGTGATGTGGCGCCCGAACATTCCCACGGAATCTTTCTAGACACGCTCGTTGTCCTTCCTCCTTTCCCGTCTCTCTTCCTCCCGTTGTGTGCGCAAAGACAGGTAGTCCTTGGCCAATGCCTTTTTGTATAGCGACCGTTTGAAGCTACGGCAGCGCTGAAAAAAGTGACTTGCCATCGGTCCCCACACTTAACGACAGCTGCAGCATTCCCGTGGTTACGTGGTCAACATTCAGGCACGTTGGCAACCGGCCTGTATTGAAGGCAGTTGTAGTGTCCGGGGGGGGGGGGTTCCTGCGATTGCCGTTTGCAACCTTCCCAGCTGGCTTCTGACAAGTAAAGTTAATGGGGGGAAGCCGGTTTCACTTAACGACCACATGATTCATTTAACGACTGCAGTGATTCGCTGAGCAACTGTGGCACAAAAAAAGTCCTAAAATCGGGGCAAAACTCACTTGCTTAGCCACAGAAATTGGAGACTCAGTTGTGTCATACGTCCCTGGGCAGTCCTCAACTTACGACCGTAATGAAGCCTGGAATTTTTGTGAGCAATGGAGGCACCAATCCCATTTGTGGTCGTAAGTCGAGGGCCACTTGTGTTCCTCTGAGCCAAATCCCTTCTTTTCCACGAATAGGAAGATTAGGGAAGGAACTCAGCTGTAGCCGTAGTAGGGAAGAAGGTTGTTATTTCTCCCCAAAACCACAGAACCCATGTTCCTCAGCATAGCTCCGCCTGCATCTGGCCCCAGGGGTGACTTTCATGTCAGCTGAGATTGGAAATATAGCTAGGGCCGAAACAGTGGGTCCGCCTTCTTCCCCGTTTCCTATCTCAGCCTGGGTTGAGACTGATACTTTGGGGGTCCCAGGTAGGCAAGGATTGGGGCCCCCCGCAGGCTCCTGTTTGCCTCCATCCTCCCCTTTCACCAGGAACAGAAGAGAGAATTGGAGGGAGCAGAGCAGGGTGTGATGGGTCTTCAAATCTGAACCATATCTAGCAGGCTGTCCCAGGCAGATTTCTGCAAGGCAATTAGCTCAATTAATCAGAGTCGACAGATGTGAATGTTGTACTGAGCCGACAGTGGCTCCTTTGGGAGCTGACTATGCGCGGAACCCATTTGTACAAATGGCGAGGAAGTGTTTCTGCGTCCTCCAACTCATGGCGGTCAAAGAGGTTGGTTCCGTAGGAGCGAGACTGATGCCCTTTTTCCCTTTGCCCGCAGGACCCCCATCTGGAAATACGACCGGGAAAGTGGGTGGCGAGAACGGTCCGTTGCCCCAATCCAACGTACCCATCATCGCTGGTGCTGCTGGAGGAGCAGCATTCGTCTTGCTGGTGGCCGCGGCGGTGACGGGGGCCCTGTGTTACCGCCACCACCGGGCCAAGCACAGTGAGTCCCACCACCCGCCGTTGTCTCTCAGCACCCTGACCAGCCCCAAGCGAGCTGGCGGCGGAGGGGGCGCCAACAACAACGGCTCGGAGCCGAGCGATATCATCATCCCGCTCAGGACTTCAGACAGTGCCTTCTGCCCACATTATGAGAAGGTGAGCGGCGATTACGGTCACCCTGTCTACATTGTGCAGGAGATGCCACCGCAGAGCCCGGCCAACATCTACTACAAAGTATGAGGCGAGGGGGGGCTGAGCTGAGCCCCCGCGGGTGGCCTTGGAGCGCCGTGGTGGGCAGGCAAGGACATTCGGATTGGAGGGGACGCCACGGGACATTACCCTTCCTGCCCGTTTTCGTTCACCTCGGATGCTGCACACCGAAGGGTTCAATGCACAGGTGCCTGGTTCACCCCCAGTTATTTTGGGGGGGGACCCTGGAACTGATATGGCTGCTGCCACAAGAGAGGCAGGGACTCGTCTCTCTTCGGGATCCAGAACGAGAGATGCAACTCCTGTCTGATCACCTACGAGCGAATTTGATAGCGACAGCCCTTCCCCATCGATTCCACGGCAAGGTCCAGCCCGTGTGTGAAGCTTGGGCTCCCACCGGGGTGTGCCCAGCTGCCAAAACAGATTTGGGAGTGGAAGACGGAGAGAGCGCCCCTCCCTTCCTTTGCAATAATTCAATCTGATTGCCTTGTCCGTCTCTCTCTCTTCCGCTCTCGTCTCCCTTTGACAGTTTGCTCATGGGCCGTGCTGATAAGGTTAGACATACGGGGAGGGAGGGGTTAAAAGTAAGCCCCCTCCCAGCGGCTCTAAAAGGTTGCATTTGTTGTTAGTGCCACAAATCAAAACAAGGAACACTGCAGGTCTGCCTTATTCCCACCACCATCGTGTGACCCTCCCCAGGAGCAGCATTTCAAACGTGTTGTTTTCGTTTTGCTTTGTTTTTTTTTTTAACTTTGAAAGTTCGCACCCTTTTGGTATTTTTGCAACTGTTGCCTCTGCAAGATCTCTCCTTACTTTCCCTCGCGGAGGTTCCTTCAGGTTGTAGCCTTGCAGACAAAGGCACTCGTCCGTTCCCCAGTTGCAATTCTCATCCCCAATTGTCCGTTCCTCCATGTATGTGGGGGGGGGGGATGCACACGTGTGAATCAGGATGGGTGGAGATCCCCTTTGTCTCCCCACCTTTGGATGGGGAAACCCCATTGGCTGACAACAGAGCAATCCACAGGTTGGGATCTGTGGCTGGGAAAGGCATCCTGGTTTGTTTATCCTTCAGCAACCATTTTGGAAGTCTTTGATGGTTTTGCCGCTTGAAGGAGAGGACAAACAAAATGGTCCACTTTCCCACCCATCCACATCGGAAGCAGGATGGGGCGATGAATTCCTCCAAATTTTTAATGTCTCTCTCTCTCTTCTCGTGCCTCCCCCCCCCCATCGCCATTCAGGAAGGGATTTCCTCAACTTTTGATGGAGTTTTGACGAAGTGGCAACATATTGTGTGTGATGTTTAGTGGCACGCCGAAAGAGGCGGGACTTCTTGTGTTAGACTGGGAAACGTACGTGGCTCAACTTTCCTGCTTTTTCAGGGGAAACTGTGGTTTTTTTCAGCTTTAACAGATTTTAATTTTTATTTTATTTTATTTGGTTCTTTTGTTTCCGTTTTCTTTTTTATCTGAAACGTTTTCTTAGTTTTTCTTGGTGGAATTTTACTGTTGGACATTGTTGATTATAGACGTTCTCGTGCAACTGGTCTCAGACTCGTCTGGTTATTTCCTCCGATCTCCTCTCATTAAAAAAATAAAATAAAATAAACTGCTCACCGGTTCTTCTCTTGGTACCCTCCCGTGGACATTCAAGGAGCTGATGGTCTTCTCCGTGTAGAACGTGCAGCTGGGATAATTTTGTCTCCACTGGACAGTGAAGATGGGTGGAACACAAAGCAGCGGCAAATCCTCCAGAGTTTGGGTTTTCTGGGGAAAAAAATTGCACACTGGGGTGGGCCGTTCAGAGACACGCGCATTTGGGGAAGGGGTGCAAAGACATCTGGTGGGCAGGGGTGCACCTCAGCGCCTAGAGCCAGTGTTTTGTTTTGGAGGTCAACTTTTGGGGGGACGGGGCAAGAGTCTGAAGGCCGGCCTTCTGCACGTGTTCAAGGCCTGGAAGTTGAAACCAGAGCAAACACGGGGTGGGGGGGGGGAGGAAAAATCACTGGAGCCTCTCCTGAAAAAAAAAAAATTGCATTCTTCAAAACAAAGCTTGCCTTGATGCCTGGGAAGAAACGGGCGTGTGGTTTGACGTTGTTTGTCTGCCCTTTCAACGCCCAGCCTCGAAGTCAGTCGATCCGAAATGCAAGGGGGCACTCGCTGGGCATGGGGCAGCCACAGCCTCTCCTGGATCATTCCAGGTTGGCCCACCCACCCCCCAACAGCCATGCCCGCCCCTCACCCTCCAAAGCTGCTTTGGCCCTTCTTGAGCACTTCGACTGCAGCTTTGCACGTGATGAATTGTGACAGGCCGCTGCAGCGCTGCTGACTTCCCCAGGGCTACATCTGTCCCTCGTATCAGGGATCTAATGGAGAAGCTCCCTGCCCCCTCAACCATGCCTGGGCCTGCATTAAATAAACAGCAGCAAGGGGGAGTCTGTGGGGTGAGAATTTGGGGGAAGGGGTGATAAGGGAACGGCCAGACCACCAGCGCCAGCTTTGCAGAAAAGTGTCGTCTCCTGGCACTTCAATTTGTTCTGACGGCTAGAGGCAGGCGTGGCTCCCCGTTGGTTGTGTGTTGGTTGTTGTGTGTCCTGCCCCCCCCCCTCCCACTCTCTCCCTGCCCACCAACCCAACTATTTGGGGGCTGGTCTCTTCCCACATCCAGACACCTTGTCAGTGTTGGAAGGAGACGAAGACCTAGGAGATTATTTTGGGAACAGGGGCCCGTGCAAATCCATCCACCGTAGAAGAGAGAAATGCCGATCCTGTATCTTCCCAGGGAAGGAGGGGGGGGGGTTAGAACTGGCCACAGATGGGTGAGTGGGGGGCTGGGAAAGCAGAACACCGGCCTCCGTGTTGGCGGGGGTCCAATTTCCCGAAAGACTGGAACGCCGCAAAGAGGCGCGTTGGGAACCCAACCCCGTTGAACGTAGGCGAGGAACAGGATGCGGCAGCGAAGGAGCACTTCTACCCATCGCCACCAGGGGGTGCCCTGCAGAAGATGCCCCACCTGGGATTCCCAGCGGGTGACTTCTCCATCCTGAAAGTCCAACTGGTGCAGCTCCTCTCGGCATCCGCGGTTTGCCCGCCAAATGGTCTCTTCCTTTGACGTCCCTCTCCCGTTCTCTCCGAGCTGCGGGCGTTTCACCCCCCCCCCATGGAAAAAAAGTGGCCGATTTGCCCACCGTCTCTTCCGCCATTTTGTTGGCCAGTCAGGTGTTGGCCCGTTTTTGGAAATCTTGTTTATACCGGAGATGAATATTTTGCTTTTTTTTTTTTTTTTGCAGCGGGCGGGTTTCTGTTTAATTGGAGTGAAAATCAGGGGGGGTACAGACCTGGCAGGTGGAACGATGTCTCTAGGCCAGTGGTTCTCAACCTTTTCAATGCCGCGACCCCCAACCGGTCGTAAGTCGAGGACTACTCAACTGGTCGTAAGTCGAGGACTACTCAACTGGTGCAGCACCGTTGGCAGAATGGGGTTTTTGGCGGGCTCAGCAGGGCAGAGACAGCCTGGACGATTCCTATTGGCTTTTGAAAGCCAATAGAATGAGACTCTATTCAAGAGAGTCTATTCTATTGGCTTTCAAAAGCCAATAGAATAAAAGGGAGTAGCCCAGCTAAGGAAAAGGGGGGAAAAATGGCGGACTGCGTTGTTTGGCGACCCCCGTGAAATGGTCGTTCGACCCCAAATGGGGTCCCGACCCACAGGTGGAGAACCACTGCGCTAGACAATGCCTACGACTGGCCAAAGGTATTTGGGGGGTGGTCTTGGCGAGCTGGGTAGAGCAGGCCATCCCGAAACACAGTTTGGTTTGAGGGGAGCTTAGTGGTCTCTGAGCTGTTTTCTTGCAGATGTTTCGTGACCAACCTAGAGAACGTCATCAGCGCTAGGAAGGAGTTCACCCCAAAGTTAACATTCGACCAACGATCAAGAAGCAGACAATACCCCAATCAAGCAAACAGTAAACAGCCCAACCAAGGAACCCACCAAGACCACCCCCCACACTCCCACTGACAGGCAAGCTGCTGCAATATAAAAAGAGAGCCAACCCCTCTCCCTACTGACCCTGATGATGTTACCTAGTTGGGTCACGAAACGTCTGCAAGGAAACCGCCAAGCTCAGAGAGCACGAGGGAGCCCACAGTTCTCTTTTTCTTCCTCCTCCTCCTCCTCCTCCTTCTTTCTGCAAATCCTTCCTCCTTCTAGCATTGATGATGTTTCCTAGTTGGGTCATGAAATGTCTGCAAGAAAACAACCAAGCTCAGAGAGCACCCGGGACCCCACAGTTCTCTTTTTCCTCCTCCTCCTCCTCCTCCTCCTCCTCCTCCTCCTCCTCCTCCTCCTCCTCCTCCTCCTCCTCCTCCTCCTCCTCCTCCTCCTCCTTTCCGCAAATCCTTCCTCCTTCTAGCATTGATGATGTTGCCTAGTTGGGTCATGAAATGTCTGCAAGAAAACAGCCAAACTCAGAGAGCACCAGGGACCCTACAGTCCTCCTCCTCTTCCTCCTCCTCCTCCTCCCCTTCCTGCCTCACACCCTTCTAGCACTGATGATGTTCCCTAGTTGGGTCACGAGACGTCTGCAAAAGAACAGCCACACTCAGGGACCACCAAGGAGACCCTCCCCCCCCAGTTCAAACTGTGCTACAAATACTCTCCTCTTATCCATAGTTTAGTTTGGCTCCGTGGTGGTCCCCGGCCGAGTTCACCACCGCTGGGGATTTATTATTTCAGCGCTGGCGAACTAAACCCAAACGGTTTCCTGGCTTTTCTGTTTTTCATTTCTTGGGGCGACTTTGAAGCTCTCTTCCCTGCTTCTTCTTCTTCTTTTTTTTTTTTCATCCAAGTTTGGCGCCTGTTGTCTTCCAAATATGGGCTTAGCGAGCGTGGCGACTCCAAGCCCTCCTTGAATGGGGGCGTGAAATTTGGATTAGGGTTTAACTCTGCATAATTGGGGAGGGGCGGATGGAAAAAAAAAACTCTCTCTCTTACACACACACACACACACACACACACACACACACACACACACACCAACAGACAACCCACAAGAAGAGCAACTCCCAAAGACAGGAATGCATGACCCGAAAGCATCAAATGTGGAAATTGCCCCTGGACCCAAATCCTGTCATCAGTTCCTCGTAGGACTTTTGGGGGGGAGCTGCTTCTCCCCCCCCCCAGTCTACCACGGGACTGTAAGGGAGGGTAGGGAGCCCATTAGCTCAGCCAGCTTGGCCGTTTGGCCGGGAGCCAGGGGTCACCTGGGGTCACTCCCCAATTAGGTCACACATTCTCCTCCTGTCTCCAATGTGGAACAAGCCGTGGCTAATGAGGTAACGGCTTTTGGGGGGGGGGTGTCACTGGCCTTTGCAGGAAGGGATCTACTGGATTAGATCAGGGACGGGGTGGGGGGGAGAAGGCAGGGCAGCCTTTCTGCCTGATTAAGCCGCCGAGAGATCTGATGGAAGGATAAGAAGAGCAGAAGATAGAAGCTGGAAGGGGCCTTGGAGGTCTTCTAGTCCAGCCCCCTGCTCAGGCAGGAAACCCTGTACCGTTTCAGACAATCTCTTCTTCAAAAACTCCGGTGATGGAGCAGCCACCACTTCTGGAGGCAGGTTGTTCCACTGATAATAAAGTTGGAAGGGACCCTGGAGGTCTTCTAGTCCAGCCCCCTGCTCAGGCAGAAGACCTTATATATATATACCATTTCGGACAAATGGTTGCCCAATCTCTTCTGAGGAGCGATGGATCACCCACACTTTCTGGTGGCAAGCAGTTCCCCTGGCTAATTGTCCTCGCTGCCGGGAGATTTCTCCTTAGTTCTAGGTTGCTTCTCTCCTTGATTATCTTCCATCCGTTGCGTCTCGTCCTGCGTCCAGGTGCTTTGGAGAGCGGGTGGAGGCACCCCTCTTCTTTGGGGCAGCCCCCCCAAATACTGGAAGGCTGCTATCATGTCACCCGTGCCCACCCCAGCGCCGGCAATTTGGGAAAAAGTTGCGGTACGTCGCGACACGTCACACGACGTTGTGAGTGTGAGACACCCCTGCTCTAGGGGTGCTAACTTCACTATCGGATGGACGTCGATGGTCCTTCGTCCAGCTGGCTGCATTTGGCCCCAGAAGGGTGTGCAGGTCCAAACGCCTGACGTGGCCTTTGTGGTTGCCACGTAGCATCTTCGTGGCGTGGGCGACAGCCCAGTCTGTCCTTTGTCCACCACATGGGAGGAAGTGGACAAGAGGGCAGAGAGAGAGCAGGCCTTTGTCGTTCTCCTCCCACACAAACCTCGTGAGACATCGGTGGCTTTGTCCCTGTCCTGCCCCCCCCCATCCCTGCCCTGTCTAACCACCCTTGGCTCATCCGGGTTAGTTGCCTCTACCAGGGTCACATCCTAATTTAGTGCCAGGTGCACGGCCTGCCTGCTTTTCAGGCTGTTTTTCAAGCTGGGCGACTTTAAGATGGGTGGACTTCAACTCCCAGAATTCCCTAGCCAAGCATTGGCCAAAGCCCTAATTTAGTGCAAGGGTCAATGAAACACTAGGCCAGGGCTAGGCCACCTTGGCTCTTTTATGACTCATGGACTTCAACTCCCAGAATTCCTGAGCCAGCCATGCTG